CAGCATTTTGTGATTATGGTCAAATGTACTACCTTTCTCCAGATTTACTTGAAAAGTGTTTGGTAACATTGAAAAACTCAAAGCAATGCAGTTATATCGTATCGCTTGGTTTCCATGAGAAGATAATCCAAATAAATCTGTATTAGATTTCAGTAATGAAAATAATGTTCTTTGTGTTGTATTAGACTTTTTGAGCACATTTCAGTGTATTTCAGTTCTATTCTGCTCTTTATTTGAAGGCAGCTGACACTCTTCTTTCACTTTTTGTTTGTGAAGTTTTCTTTCTTTTTCTTTTTTTTATCCACTCACTTCTCCATCTGCTTTCACTTTTGTTTGCTTGGGCCGTCTCTCATCCCAACTTGATAATGAGGAATGTGGTGTGACCCTGACCTCTATCAGCCCATGCCTGACCTTCTGACTCCCCTACCTAACCTTTGACCTTTTCTTTGACAGCTTGATTAATTACCCTGTGTTATGATTTATGAGTAAGTGCTATGTAAAAATAATAGACAACAGGTGGTCCCCTAAAAACTTTTTGTGGCATGTTTTCTTTTCCTGCCTAACTTGATGAGCTATTTTAAGTTAGAAACTTGATGGAACAATGTGAATTTGGCAGTAACACAGCATTTTTTACACACTTGGACACAGCAGTGGAATTCAGGAGCCAGAGAGATGAGGTGTAACTGGGATGAAAATATTACAAAGTATTAGCAGGGTGCAGTTGCCAAAATGCACATTGGGTGAAAATACAAAAAGGAGTCAACTGACATTTCAGGCGTTTCGGTCTCAGGTCACGTCTTGAGAAAATTGCTCAAATAATGGAGGGGGCATTTTTCAAGCTGAGCTGCATCTCCAAAGCTATGTTTACTTTTACGCTTCACTAGTGACTTCTGATTGGTTGTCATGACCTCATCCTACTGTTGCATCTAGGATGTTGCAACAGTGACACATAGGTACCCTTCTCTTTAAAAAGATGGGAAATAAACAGATCATACATCTTTCAGAAAGATGAATGACCATTCCTGTGTCCATGTTAAGCATGCACAGATCTAGGTTACAAGACTTGTTTTCTCTGAAGGATTTACTTTCATCGGCTTGAAATGGTCTAAATAGATTTATTTATTTATTTATTCTTTAAAAAGTCAGATTGATAAAGCTCAAGAAAGTGGTGTGCTACAGATTCTTACTTGCAGGCCAGAAAGATAGGGACATAGGTCAAAAGATTTCACTCTAGCCTCTGACCTCTCTCGTCACATATGGTATCCCAGCCAGGTGGATTAATATGCAGGGCTGAATGCTTTTAGCTCATAATCAATTTGACCAGACATGACATTTGTAGAGTTCCAGAAGGTATCTTAAATAATTTTTGCCGTTTACTGTTGTCTCATTGGCTAGCATGCCATAAGACTTTTGGATGTGCCCATAATGCTCTATAAAATAAGCATTTTATAGAAACATCAAAAAGTATGTAGTGGACCTTTTTCCTATTTATTATTATTGTTTCATTTTGCTATCTGATAAACTTGTAGCAGTTGTGTAACACTGAGTTCAAATAATTTTTCTTAGGATTCTGTGTAACCTGCATTCTTATGTCTCTAAGCTGGCTTTTACTATAGCCATCATCTGAATAATTAATGTCAAATAAGCTCATATGAAAGATTGAAAATGATGCTTACTGAAATCTGATGAAACCGTTGTTTAAATTGTGTTAACACCATCAGATGCTGTACATTTTGGTGTCACAACAGTTAATAGACCTGCAGTGCTTGTCCTCCATAGTGGATTTTAGAATAGATGATGGCTTATAGTGATTGGCTATATACAGTAGCTAAATGCTTATTTTAGCAGTAACTTTTTGTTACCTAGTACTAATTGGCCTGTGCTGATGAACTTGGACCTTAGAAAATATTGGATTCAATTCCCAAATATCTTGTGTTGCAATTGGCTGGTAATAATGTGAGATATTTTGCAGAATACAGTATACTTCTACTATAGATAAAAGTTAGAAGGTCCTAAACCTTTACTCATTAGAAAACCAGAACTTCAGATTATGTTTGGAAATGTTGAGTCACTTTTTTTACAAGGATGTCCTAAAATGTAACTGATACACAATGGAATTCCTGCCTATAAATGAAAACAGTCTTCAAAAATTAACCAGTGAATCTATTTCATTTCCAAGAGATTTTCTTGCATCTCATACAGTAGCTGCCTATATTGGAGGCAAGTTTTGTAGCAACTGTTTATAAGCAGATACTGGTTTAGAGGTGTTTTTCAAATGATGGCAGTATAATTTACCCAGTTTTTTAAAGGGTACATTACAGGTTTGAGCCCTTTGAAGAAGTCTATAGCTTTATATTATTGCTTGTCCCAGCATATTTAAACTATTTGCCTAGAATAGTTTGATCGTTGTGCTTTAACTTGGTGGAAACAATAATGGGACATTGAAATTAGGTGAGCTTAAATCTTGGGAATTTGGTGATATCCAACTTGTTTTCAAGATCTTTACAATTCAGGAACCAAATACTCAAGATGTTGGTGGAATATTAAAAAGAAAAATGACTGGTGTTTCTACAGGTAAAGAAGAAAGAAAGGTCAGCCTATGGCTAAAGACCTAGATTAACTTTTGATAGTTTTGGATGGTAACAATTTTGTAATACCAATAGAGGTTAAATTCAGCTGTAGTTATGTATGTTACATTGCATTTCTACCCCCTTTCATCCTAGCAAGTATTGTATTTTACTCCTAATCCTCTTTCCTTTGCCTGTTTTTCCTCATATAGTTTAGGCTGCAGTGGCTAAGGACAAAAGGCGGAAAAAAGTATGACACTGTGTCAACTTTCTTACAAACACGACAACATTTACAATAGATTTTTAAAAAGAAATCATGAAGCATATGATAGAATTCCTTAAAGTATCAGTGTTTTAATGTTGTTATTTTAACAAACATGGTATTTGAATAAAGTTTTAAAGGCATACTGAGAGATGGTTTGTGCTATTCAAACCTAATTGATAAAAGTCCTTTAATTGATTTATGAAGCTGTGATTTTTGAAATGGAATCATTTTTCATCTGTTGATGTGTCAGTGAAAAATTGATGTTATGTCCTCATAAAATTGGACAAATGAGTCATGTAATTTTCAGCTACATAATCAATAACTTAGACAAATTTTACTTCTCTGATGATTTATGTATGTCTGCTTTTGTGGACATAACTTCACATTTCAGTAACACATGTACAACCATAACAAATACCTGAATTTTACATCTTACGTTGTACAGAAAATCAAAGGGATCAATAATCTGCCCCCAAAAACCCACAAACAAACAAACAAACCCCACAACACCCTGCCATAGGCCACAAACATGAGTAGCAAACTAAAGTGCTGAACGTGAAGGGCACTATTTTTGAATGGTTATAAAAAATGCCATATTTTCCTTTCAGTATTTTAAAAATAGTATGAAAAGGACATTTGTATTATTTCATTAATACTTTTGCATCCATCCAAGAAGGCTGCAATCTTTTCTGCTTTTAATGAATTGTACGTAATAAAAACAGGATGCTCTGATGCTAAATTTTGCATTTTAATTCCTTATATAATAACTCTACTGCAATTTTTTACTTTATACGTGACCACAGTTCCAAAGCATATGGGTAGTATGTGTGAATATAGAAGGAAGAGCTGGGAAAAAAGATGACAGGAGATCACTTACTCATGGTACAGAATCTAGAAGGAGGCAATTTTCTCTTTGGCCTGTGGTGACCTTTTTACCATGTTCCCTTACACCACAGACAGTGAACTGAATGCCTCTAATTCACCCTGCTTAACAGAGTGCAACAGTGTTCTTTAACTTAGTTTTGGTGGGAGGAGAAGGTATAGTAGAAATTTGAGAAGGGCGTGAAAGCTTGTACAGGCACAAGGAAGAGTAAGAACTTCCTTCAAATGTGATTTTAATAACTAGCCGAGTGTGTCCAACTGTAGAAAATCACCAAGTGACAATCTGTCTACCTGACAGTTACTACAATGAGTTACAAGATTTTTGAATAGCTACACAGATTAGAATAAAGCAACACTGAATAAAGTATCTTTTGTTGCTGTAGATTTGTTTACCTTTGATCATCTATAAAGGTGGACTTTCATCTTTTCACTTTGGCTCCTTGTTAGGCAGAAATTATATATTCTATTAACTAAGTTAAAATAATTTTAATGTTGCTACCTGGAATTTGTAGTAAAAAAAGTTAAAAGTAAGAATTTCATAATAATATTGGGAAGTAATTTGTGTGTAATTCCTTTGCTTTCTTAAAAAAATTATTTTTATAGCTATGGCAGTATTCTATTTCATTTAAACAATGTCTAGAGATTTTTTATTATATTCATTCAAATATTCTTTAATTACAGTTGTCAGAGCAAAATGAAATACAATAAAATATTTAATATTTCCCCCTCTAATGGTTGCTACACATAATACATCTTTAATCCCTATACTGTTGCTAAAGTTGAAGCTGGTGAAATCACAGATTTGTAAGCAATCACTTAGAAATCACTGATTTCCAAGCCATGTCAAATAATCACAGCATATACAGATTGTTATTGGTGCTTCCATTGATGAATTAGACAGAAGTGTTTAACATTTTAAATTGCAATCCAGGACATAGTTCAACTGTTTAAATCCCACTGAAATCAGTCAGTGTACACAGAGTAAATATTAAAGTTTTTAGCAGTGGAGCATTAAGTATACATCATGATTCTAGAACTGATTTTTATTTCTTTGATTTTTTCATGAATCACATGAAATATTGTAAAGTTATTAAAATGTTAACAAAGAGTTAGCAAATATGTGAACAGAAGAGACACTAGATTCAGATACAAACACAAACGGAATTAATCCCATTCATTGTCAGCTCTATGAAAATCACACAAATTTATATTTAAATCACTAAAAATGTAAACCATTCAAAGTCAAAAATTGGTATTTATTCTTTCTTTTCCTTCCATTCAAACAGGAAGGTTATGGAGTGATAGTACTGAATCCGAATGAGAACTATATTGAGGTTGAAAAGACAAAAGCACTTGTGCAGCTGTCTCCTGATAGTTCGGATGAACCTGCAGAAAAGAGGGAGAAAAAAGATAAAATCCAGAAAGATACAAAGAAGCGACGGGACTTCTATGAGAAGTATCGAAATCCACAAAAAGAAAAGGAAACTGTGCAATTGTATATTCGAGTAAGTTACTGTAGTTTCTTCTGCTTAGTATGAAACAATAGAACATTCGAATGATGTTGCTGTGATTTAAAATATTATGGTTTAAAATGTGTATAGTGTTTATATAATTGTGTAATACTGAGGGTAAGAACTTTTCATTTATATTGACATTTTTGTTAGCATTTATTTTGAAAGTGGAAAAAAAACTTAATTTATTTTCAGTTTTCAAAGAGAAACTGCAGATAAATCCTAGAGTAACACACAGTGCGTTGCAGAGACAAATACAAATCTGAAACATAATGTATGAAATATTTTAAAGTTGATATGGGTGTAAGAATCATTTATTAAATGTAGTTTTGATGTTGGCTTTACATTTAGAGCATTATGCTTAGACTTCTAAAAAATACTAATCAAATATTTTAACGTTGCCTGGTAAATTAACAATATCACAGGCAACATGCTGATGTTCACTGTATTGCCGTAATGTATTTCTTCCATGTTAGTAGGTTGCCATTGTATTTCAATCAAAGTTTCGAAGGAAGATGAAATTATTAATATCTTAAATATTTAAGACAGAATAATTCAAGAATAGTGCAATGAGGAAATTCTGTCCCTTGCTCTTTTCTTAATCAGTGAACCTTTGCACTCTGTAATGCTGTCAGCATGGGATCGTTATAACAGAGCTATCCAAGGATTTCTAATTCTGCAGGGGGCACAACAATATTATTTGTCCTTTGTCACATTTTGCCTTGTAAAGCTATGATGAATTATCCAGTTTAGATGCATTCAAGCATCTTTAAATGCTTTTTTAAAACAACCAAACGAGAATTTAGTGTTTTTATTCTACAGTAAAATATACTATGCCTGCTCCAGTTTCACTGAAACATTGTGCCTATGGTTATTGAACAGTGGAAAAACAGAAGAAAAATCATAATTATATGAAATGGTGGCATGGTTATTATTATGTTAAGATAATGGCAAGTTATAGCAGAAGATCGTTTTGCTATAAGAAATACAAACAAATGATATATCTCTCTAAATGAGTAGTGAACAGAAGAAAGAACAGGAAATGATGAGGTAAATCAACAGTTTGGAGTAACAAGTAATGCAAAAGAGCATACTTTCTGTTATTAACGAATAATGGTGTCTAATAACTTGCTCACTAGATACGTAGTTTTATTATATGAGAACATCTCCGAATGGAAGGAAGGAAATCCTGAAATTCTGCAAATGCACCAGATGCAGTTTTTTATTTACTTGATAGTTGTGCTTTTACTCTTATACTGAATGCAAGATCATAGTCACAATATTCTATGACATCTTCTCTTTTTCTCATGGAGAATATCTTTTGTACTTCTCAGGTATTATGTTTTCCTTCATTCTGATGGTTTTGTAAAGAGCACATCAGGTATCATGCACTGTATTAACTTTGTTGGCCTACTGATTGGATATTTCATACAAATTCACTTTCATTTATTTCTTCAATTCAGAGATCTTTCTGTAGGAGCAGCAGGAAGTTCAGCTCTCAGAATCATTCACCTAATAGCCCCTCAGGACTACAGTCCATGAGAAAAACTTCCAGAGGGTCTGAAAGGGCTTCAGAATGGGAGAGATTTATGTGAGTCCAGAAGTAAATACTCCTTATGCAGCTGGACCTTTGGATGAAAATAGTGTGTGTTCTTGTTTAGTTTTCCTTTGTCTTTGAAGCCCTAGTTCCACATATGTTCAATGTGATATGTTTCTTTTTGCCCTGGCATATTAATTTGAACCAACTGTAAAGCCAAGATAATAGGGAAACTTTCATTGGATATCACGAATCCTTCATCTGAAAGCTGCTTCTATTTTTGTTTAGCTTTCTGTATACTTTTAAAAAAATGGTTTTCGGATGCTTTGACCTAAAGTTGCTAGTCCCAGCTAAAGTAGACCAACTGAATCAGTGGAATTTACCATTCGGAAATAGCAAGTCTTCCGGTTGCTCTTAAAGCAGCTGGAAGAGACAAATCACCAGGAATAGACTGATACCAATAGAACTATTTCAAGTCATGAGACTGAATCTGTCAAAATCCTAACAAGAATGTGCCAACAGATGTGGAAAACAAAAATGGTTGGCAGAGTAGAAATGCAAAATATACCTTCGTGTCTCAAAAAAAGAAAAAAGGAAAAAAAAGGAGGAGCTAAAGGTTACAATAACTAAAGAACCACTGAATTTTTCATGCAAGGAAAGTTGTACTCAAGTTCTCATTACCTTTAGCATATTTGGAGTGAGAAATGCTGGATGTTCAGGCTGGAATTAGAAAAGGAAGAGACTCAAATGATCGTCTTGTAAATATACATTAGAGATCATTGTTGTTACATGTTGTCAAGTCACCTCCGATTTATGGCAACCTCATGAAAGTGTGATCACCAAATATTCTGTCCTTAACAGCTCTGCTCAGCTCTTGTAACCTCAAGGCTGTGGCTTTCTTTATGGAACCATTTCATCTCATATTCAGTTCCTCTTTTCCTACTGCATTCACCTTTTTCTAGCATTATTTTCTTTTTTAGAGACTTTTGTCTTCTCATGATATGCCCAAAATATGACAACGGCAGTTGTGTTATTTTTGCCTTGATTTTCACTTGATTTTCTCTAGGACCCAATTGTCTGTCTGTCTGTCTGAAGGTCTATAATATCTACAATGGTCTTCTCTAGCACTATATTTCAAATGAATCAATTTTTTCCTGCCAGCCTTCTTCATTCTCCTTCTTTCACACCCATACATAAGTTAGAATAATGACTGGGATTTCAATAGTGTGGGTGGTCTTGGGCTTGATCTCCTTACATTTGATTATCTTTTCTAATTCCTTCATTGCTGACTTGCTGAGTTTCAGTCTTTTGATTTCTTAGCCGCAGTCCCCATTTGGATTAATGATTGGACCTAGGTATAAAAAATATTTAATAACTGCAGTTTCTTCAGTATCGACAGTAAAATTGTGTAGTTCTTCTGTAGTAATGATTTTTGCCTTCTTAATGTTCAACTGCAGTCCTGCTTTGGTACTTTCTTTTACCTTCATCAGAAGTCATTTCAAGTCACTGCTGCTTTCTCCCCATAAGATGTGTCATCTGCATATCTTAAATTATTGATGTTTCTTCCACCAATTTTCACTCCTCTTTCATCTGAATCTAGTCTGGCTTTCCGTATGTTCTCTGTTGGGAGATAAAATGCATCCTTATCTGACTCTGTCTACAGAAACCATTCTACCTCTCCATGTTCTGCCCTAACAGTAGGTTCCTGTTCACAATGCAGGTTACGCATAAAGAAAATCAAGTGTTGAGGCACTCACATTTCTTTCAGAACGATCCATAACTTCTCATGATCAATATTGTCAAAGGCTTTGCTACAGTCTATGGAAGCATTCTCCATGAAGCACCCCTTCATGGATTGCTGCCTTGTCGTGGTGAAGGGGCTTGAGTAATTCAGAGAAGCTATGGGCTATGTCGTGCAGGGACACCCAAGACAGACAGGTCATAGTGGAGAGTTCTGACTAAATGCAATCCCCCTGGAGCAGGAACTGGCAAGCCACTCCAGTATCTTTGCCAAGAAAACCCTATAACCAGAAACAAAAGGCTAAAAGATATGACGCTGGAAGATGAGCCCCTCAGGTCAGAAGGTGTCCAACTTGCTACTGAGGAATAGTGCAGGACAAGTACAAGTAGCTCCAGAGTTAATGGAGTGGTTGGGCTAAAGCTGAAAAGACGTTCAGCTGCAAACGCACCTGGAAGTGAAAGGAAAGTCTGATGCTGCAGAGAAAAATACTGCATAGTGTTGGCACATAAAGTTGGCGGAAATTAGCGCAGAGTTTTTGTCCAGTCCAGATAACTCACAGGTACACAGGCAGCTTCTCCCAACACCAGAGTATATTTACAATATATACAGCAGTTCCAACTGGCAGCATGACATCAAGCAGTGGACCAGTGGTAGAGAATACATCATCAGTTCAGCTTCACATATATATACTTATACATATTAGCATATAACCATCCATAGCAGATATTGCATCATTCATGACTCAGCATTACTCAGGGTTCTTGCACACCTGCACAATCATGGATGCTCATTAATACAAACCTTGTTCTGCCAGGTTAGGAAATTATTCTTGACACATAGGAACCTAGAATGTAAGATCTATGAACCTTGGTAAGCTGGATGTGGTCAAACAGGAGATGGCAAGAATAAGCATTGAGATCCTTGGTGTCAGTGAACTAAAATGGATGGGAATGGGTGAATTCAATTCAGGCAATTATCATATCTACTATTGTGGGCAAGAATCCCGTAAAAGAAATGGAGTAGCCCCCATAGTCAGCAAAAGAGTGGGAAAAGCTGTACTAGGATACAATCTTAAAAATGATAGAATGATTTCAATACGAATCCAAGGCAGACCTTTCAACATCGCAGTAAGCAATCCAAGTTTACGTACCAACCACCAATGCTGAAAAGGCTGAAATTGATTAATTCTATGAAGACTTACAACACCTTATAAAACTGGTGTTGAAAGATGTTCTTATCATTATAGGGGACTGGAATGCTAAAATAGGGGATCAAGAAATAAAAGGAACAACAGGGAAGTATGGCCTTGGTGTTCAAAACGAAGCAAGGCAAAGGCTAATAGAGTTTTGTGAAGAGAACAAGTTGGTCATCACAAACACTCGTTTCCAACAACACAAGAGGCAACTCTACACATGGAAATCGCCAGATGGGCAATACCGAAATCAGATTGATGATGTTCTCTGCAGCCAAAGATGGAGAAGCTCTATATAGTCAGCAAAAACAAGACATGGAGCTGATTGTGGCTCTGATCATCAGCTTCTTATACCAAAACTTGAGCTTAAACTGAAGAAAGTAGGAAAAACCACTGGACTAGTCAGGTACAGTGGTGCCTCGCTTAACGATTGCTTCGTTTAACGAAAAATTCGCTTAACGATGGCTTTTTCGGAGCGATCTTGTGCTCCATTTAACGATTTTCCCTATGGGCGATTTTCGCTT